TATAATTTCACCCCCCAGCCTGAGATGGAATACTTGGCCAATCTTTGGGAGGGAACATCAGTAGCCATTCGGTCTTGTCTTACTCCCATCCAGACCCTAACAGCCTCCAGGCACTAGCACATCCCTTCTACTGCTTCGCTGAGTTGGCACGGGTCGGACAGATACAACTGCGTATCGTCCGCATATTGGTGGTACTTAATCCCGTGCCAACATATGTTCTCACCCAGCGGCTTCATGCAGATGTTAAATAGGAGGGGGGACAGGACCGAACCCTGCGGCACGCATAATTGAGGGGCCTTGGGGTCGACCTCTGCCCTCGGACCAACATCGACTGCGACCTGTCCAAGAGGTAGGAGGAGAACCACCGAAGGATGGTGCCTCCCACTCCCACCTCTTGCAACCGTCGCAGAAGGATACCATGGTCGATGGTATCGAAGGCCGCTGAGAGGTCAAGGAGCACAAGGATATGAAACCCATCAATGAAATCTTATATAATGAATTTGTATCTCTCAAAACTTATGCAGAATTACACATGCCATTTCCGGTCCAGTTTATACCAGATGTTTTAGAAAAGGCATAATTTTCAAAAGGTTACATTTCTAATATTTTGTACTCAGGCTTTATTTATCCAAAGACTTTGAAGACTTGATTTGGCAGTTACTTTATTTCCCACTTTTCTTGTAATCTTCTGCTGCCTCTCTAGCCTACTTCAAAGCACAATTCCTACTCCCCCCCCCCTTGATGGGTGTCATTATGATTGAGAGAATATCAGCTTTTCACAAAATGTTTTACTCATCAAATTAAAAAAAAAATACTTTGGCATGTCTCCTCACAGCTTTAACGAACAGAAGAAAAATAAATTAATTTTCTCAGCAATTTTATCAAGCTTTTAAGTGCCAGAAAACTTGGTTTTTTACCATTCTTGTTTTTATATATATGGACAAATTATATGATCACTGTTGTAACCTCCTGGTACTACTGTTTATTAATACGTATATACAGGTTAATCTTGGAGAACTGATATGACATTTACCACTTGGCAAAATTTTGTTTGTACTTGGACTGTGACAATTAAGTCAAAGGATCCAGAAAGAATCTGTCCACGAAGTACTTAATTGCACAGCAGAGTAGGTGATTTACTTTTCATTAATTGAAAAATACTAGGAAGGCACTGTTAAAAAAAACTTGGAATAAATTAGTCAACAGTTTTCCTTTCTTAGAAAGTCATAACACTGATATAATAAACAACCAAGGTGTAATACAAACATGGGTAAAGCTGTCTGAATTGAACATAGTTGAAAAGTCATTACCACTGAAGTGCCTTCTCAATTAGGATAATTAGAAACATCATTTTAGAATGTTGCATTCACACATAATCAGGGAAAAATATTCCTAGGAATTGGCTACTTAAATAATGATAAATTAATGATTAAAATAAACAGAAGATTCTTGCTCTTAGTGATTCATTTGGTAAGATTATGTTCTATGTATCATAGTGGCATTTCTATGCACTGTCGGATGTTCATAGCAATAAAAACAAAACAAAATATCAGATTCTGGTGTGTATCTTTTGCCCCAGAAAACATAGTCTAAGTGGTTTCATAGTTTCTATTTCTGGAGCAACTCTCTAAATCAGGGGTGTCAAACTCGCGGCCTGCAGACTGGATGCATCATACGATGGCCATGCCCACACCCAGTTTAGCGAAGGGGGGGAAGTCAACGGTATGTCATGTGATGTCGCCGTGACAATATGAGTTTGATACCCCTGCTCTAAATGTATCGAAGATGAATGTGTCCAAATCATCTCTGTCTTTAAAGGGGAGATTATTTGGTACATGAAAACAGAAGAATTGAATTTACACTGTACAGTTCCAGCTGTTTACTTAGAAAGTAGGGTGTATCTGGAATTTCACAGAAGCTGCAGCTAAAAGGACAACTATGTTATACTGTTTTATTCTATTTTGTTTGCTGTTGATTTGTGGTATTGTGGTCAGTGATTATAATAAAGAATTGAACTGAAGTAAAAGTAATTTTGAGGGGTAAAAGGATAGTTTGAAAAATTGTAAGACTTGTCTGCTTAAAGGGACAGGACCTGCCTATCACTTTTCATTCAAGCAGTTTATAACACTCAGGTTCTGTTACACATGTTACTGTATATGTAACATATGCCATTTAAAATCTAATTTTATTTTATCATGTCTTGGAAGGAAGTCTTTTTCTGTTCATTGGGACATAACATTAGTAGCATATCAAGAATTGCAGCCCAAGCTGACTATTCTTTCAAATAACTTGTGTTTTGATTAGAAATAATTTCTATCTCCCCTACCCCTCATATTCTTATATGAGAAATGAGATCAGGGATGATGCATAATTCTGTATGTTAAAGGACATTTTTCAGATTGTCTCAAGGGTTCACTCTCTCCTTATTGAACAGCATTCTTACCATAGGCGTATGCAGCTCCTTTTCTTACATGTTATCTGAATAATCTCCTTCTAGAGTGTGTTAGAATACATAGTAATACAAATAAATTAAG